ACAGTCACTTGGTGTAGCAGACACCCAGGGAAACTAGCAGCTTCTTGTGTTTCACCCTCCTGTTTTCGCTCTTCCCATACTACGCCTGGGAAGGGTGGAGGGCAAACATACATATGCCAATCGTACACCCCCACCAGCTGTGCCTCGACCACCCCGTCCCCCTCCCGTGTGGATGCTGGAGTGCCCTGGACACCTTCCCCAAAGTACAAAGGCAAGACTACCCCCGATGCCATCAAAGATTGGCCCCGGAAGAAAAAAGCAGTGGGCCACAACACAAATGCTGGCTGTGGCCCAATAGAGAAAAGTATGGACTGTGTGGGAAGCCTGTCAACAGGCGAAGAAGCCAGAACCTCTGATTATAATAGCAAAGCTTCGCACCTGGTGGATTTTGAGCTGGAAGGAGTCTACAAGCTTCAGGACCAGTCACCTCCCAGTGACTCAGAACCCAGAGCTCCCGAGAGCACTTCCCTGGATGTGTTGGGCCTGAAGTCTAGGAAACGGGCTTTTCAGCGCCTGTCTCCACATGGGCAAACCAGACAAGAAGCAAAGAAGTCTTGCACAAGTAATGCTGACCCGGATCCGGTCTGCTCTCCCACAGATGAGACAAGCAGAAAGGGAACTTGTACGGTGCTACCTGGTAGAACCCGAGCATCCTCAAATGGAGCTCAAGTACAGCAGAGCTCCCTAGGGGACGATGAAGTCTTCCTTTCTTCAGGTAGTTGCATGGCACATCAATGAAAACCTAACATGTTGAATTGGAAGGAGCTATGTGTACAGGGAATGCAAAGGGGTAGGAGACCTGTCTAGCTGGGAACAGGAAGATATAGCTAATGCTTGTGGAGAAATAATCTAAAAGGGAATGAGATGGAGGTGGGGGAAGAGGGACTGCAAGCTATGTTGCATTGCAGCTAGGATCAATGCAGAAACACCATGTCACAGACCAGGTTAGCAGCATTAGAATTTGGGGATATTGAGATCAGTTGTGAGCAGCTTGTTACTTAGATATTGGCAAATGGGAGAGAGATCTGAGAGGAGCATAAAAGATCTGAGAGGGGGCTGGAGGCATTTACCTAAAGGATGCAGGGCCAAGTGCAGTCATTTGTTAGTCATCCTAGTGACATCCTGCTGCTGCTCTTCAGTAGCAAAAGGCTGCTGAATCCCAGGGTGGAAGAGTTGTCATTTAGGTGGTGACAAGAAGCTGGATATGATAGGGGGAGTTGCACTGATAGATGGTTTTTGCCTGGGATGTGGCTTCCCATGGAAAGTTATGACAGTTTTATTGCCTTGGACAGGATATTGGACAGCACTGGAATCTAACGTGCTCCGGTACCCAACTTTCTTTCCACAAATGGTTTTTAACACTATACACATGTCTTGAAGTTAGTCTGGGGTAGATTTTTTGCAGGGCAGGCATCTGTGGGTCACTTCAACCTAATAGCATGTAGTTGTCCAGATGTAACTAGTTGTTAGCATTCCCAGCTCTTGTCTGCAGGTAACTCATCAGAAGTGTCACTGAATGTAAGTGGCAATGCTCTTGACAGCAGAAAGGCTATGTTGGCCAATGCTAATGGCAGCTATGTTAATAGCGGTTCTATTTAGTTTATTCCTACTAGAGCTACTGACCACTTACTGGTCTTCAGGAAAGCAGACAGCCATAGTATTGTAAGCAAAGTCTTGTGGATTTTGGGTAAGCTCAAGGGCCCTTGGAGACGTACCAGAGGGGACGGCTGAGTTTCCTGTGTGCCATGCTCACGTTACAGGGCTTCATGGGAAGGCTGCATTGTCATGTCTCCATGTTCTTCTCCAGGCTTAACTCCGCCAGTCAAGAGCTCCCTCTCGGCAAGCGGCCTTCGGGCACTGACTCAGTCTCCGCTGCTTTACCAGGGACAAACACCACCATCTTGGAGGAAGTGCACTGGAGGTAACCACCAAATATGGAGGGGTTGGGCTCAAATGGACCTGTGATCTGTCCACAGGGGGAAGCAGTGCAAGTAGTGCAGTACTTGCTCAGAAGGCATGTGTATGCAGAGGGCCAGGGCAGGGGGAGCTTGTTCCTGTATGCACTCAACAGGCCATGCCCTCTGGCTCCTCAGAAGCTTTACATAGAAGCATAGACCAAGCTGAACTCTATTCTCCTTGGAGAGGACAGTGGAAAGATTGGCTGTAAGCAGTGAAGTGGCTGTGTTGCTTTTCCTCAGTGCTTCCAGCTGGTGTTGGGTTTCCTGGGAAAGGGTCTTAAAGTGACTGGGGTCAGGCTCTCATTAGATCTCTTCTTTCCTGTGCAGACGACAACCTGGATGTCTTTCCTGGTGCTGCAGAGCAGGAAGTGTCCCCGTTCCACAGTATGGCCTTCCAGAGACGGCCCCTTGGCAGAACTTACTCCCGGAAGAGGCTGCTCAGCTGAACTGGGAAGCCAGGCTTAGATGGTGCTTGGATAATGAAACTCAGATGGTTGAGAGATTCCCTTGCCCTCTGTGCGGGATTTACTGCCAGCCATATTCCGTATTGAGCACGTGGGAAATCCTGATCTCTGCCTGTGATAGATGCTGCCTCCAGTGCAGCCAGCATCCTGGAAATTCCTGCCTTAACTGGAAGCAACAGACCAGAATGTGGCTCAGGAAGGGGTAGCTCTGAGGCAGTGGGTTAGGGACAGCTGCCTGGAGTCCAGAAAAAAGGTTTTTAATTTAGCAGGAGCTATGTGCCCATTGTTTCTAACCCCTGCTGGGGATCACTAATGCTCCCCTCAGGCATGCTGGAACTGGGATTTAGCCCAGCCAGGGGAGGGGAACTGTCACTTTTTTTATATTTTTCTTTAGCTATTTTGTAAAATAAATTAAGTTGAATGGCTACTTTGTCCCATTTCTTAAGAAATCTGGAATTGGCCCAGAGGTTCCAGTACAACTTACTGCAGTGCAAAGCAAAGCTGCTGTTGTCCCCAGATTCTTCCTCTGCCCCCCTTCTTTCAACAAACAGGCTCACCAGAATCCTTCCACGCATTTGAGCATGTTTTCCTCTAAGGTTAACTTAAGTGTGATTACACTTCAGACTAATCTCAGTTATACTAAGAAAGGCTCCTCTTATTAGACAGCAGGGATGGAAAATGGGTATGACCTGGCTGTTGACCTACAAGATGTGATGACCTTTAAAGAGGTATTAGAGGGTAACACTATGCAATATCTCCTGGGAGTGGAGCAGTTTTGAGGGGCACTTCTTCATTAGCAGGAGGGTAGATTTGACTTCTACACAGAGGAAACACATCTCCCCATAGATTCAACACACCTCCAAAGGGAGGAACCATAAGGATGCTTGGAGTGGGGTTATTGAACCAGAAAAGGAAGCCAAACAACAGCAGTAGGTGAATGTAATACTTCTATAACTGGTTTTCTTTAGGTAACAGTAAGGTCAGGCCAGGCCCCCTTGTAGTTATCTCATATAAGGCCTCCTGTGCCTCCCTTCCCCCTCTGACTGCTTTTGCTTTCCTCTGGATAATGAAGGTGAACGAGATAATCCATCACTGCTGTTGAGCAGGCTGGTATCCCTGTTCAGGAGAGGACTGTAGCATTATTCATGTAAACACCTTTGAATGAGGCAGAGGCTTGAATAAAAAAGTTGCAATTACTGAGGAAGAACAAAATGGATTCCTCTTTCCTGCTGGAGGCTTCTGCTTTCATTCAGCACAAGACATTCAAGAGATTTGGGGCTGGAGTTGCAAAAAAATCTGTTGCTATGCTGCACACTGCAGCACTTCTAGGTGCTGTGCTGTCATTTGTGGAATCCACAGCTCTGTTTGGTGGCTTTGCTCATCTAATGCATGGGAAGGTTAGACACTAGGTTTGGGATCTACAAAACCCAGGCACTGCAGAGGAGGCAGCTAGTGTGAAGCACTGGGGAAGACTTAATCCACTCCTGAAAAGACTTATACTTATCTGATTGCAGGCTCGAGGAGAGTGCTTCCTATTTACACAAAAGAAGGGACAACACAGGCCAGCTGCAGCATTCAGACACAGCTGTAAAATCCAAGCCCTATGCCCATAAACATACAGATCCAGGATGGGGTCTTGTGCACTGAACCTGGTTTGCTGTGACCATACGGAAATAAAAATGGGAGCTTTTCACCGGGGAAAAAAGGAACAGACAAAATTCCCTACAATCGGGTGAATTGATAAAGGTTTTCTTGGCTGCTATTGATGGCCAATTATTAACCAGCCATATTGGATACTGGAATGCAGCCAGGCAGCTTGGAGAGCAGGCCAGGCAAATAAATCCAGGCGGGGGGAGGCACTGGAGGAGAGAAGGGGCATGGGGCAGATCAAGGCCACCACAGTTGAGGCAGTGAATGTAACTCCACCAGGAGCAGGATGGAGCCGCGGGTGGCTCCCTACTGCTGAACTCATCCCAGGGGAGACATGGGGGTCACGTACTCCCTGGATTTGTGCTCGGGGTGAAGGCAGACTGCCCGCCGGGGGCTGAGCCAGGGGGCTACAGGGTGGGCTGCAGCCACCCCAAATTTCCCCGTAGCCCCTGCTCCCAGTGCTGCCACCATGCACCCTGAGTGTAGCTTCAGCCCAGCCCCACCCTGCCAGGCTGACACAGCCCCTGGCCCCGACCCTACAACCCACCCTCACCCCATGTATAAGTCTGGGGGACAGCCACAGCTGTCCTGCTCCCAGCAGTTGCATTTACTGTCCTGGCTGAGCAGCACCTGTCCCTGCCCCTCCCTCACAGTGGGGCCTCAATCTGCGCCCCCCACCCCACAACTTACCCGCAGGACACTGCTCTCCAAGATGCCCAGCTGTATTCCTGGCCACATGCATGCTGCAACCACACACCTGCATGCAGCATTTATTGGTGACAATATTTGCTACACTGGCCAAAAAAAGCAAATTGCCAATAATGCTAATTTTCCTTTTATCGGTGCTGATCCGATATGTGATGGATATATTGGGGCACCTCTACCTACAATGAATGCTAGGATGGGCTCCAAGTCCGTATACTCGCATAAGAGACTGGGGCACATGCCTCCTTTAATAAAATGCACTCTGCTTTATTAGAAAGTGACAGTAGAAATGTATAAAAGCTACTACAAATCTATGTACATTGGCATTAGCCCTAGCCCACAGGCCTTTCCTGTGGACACAGCCAAGCCTGCAGTGTCTGAGGGCAGGAGGGGAGCTCTGTCTGCCCCTCCCTGGTAGGAAGCAGGAACAGGGAAGACTGCCTGTATGGGAAACTCACAGTGGAATTAAGTGACATGTTGCCCCTGTGATGTGGTGTTCCCTTTCTGGTGTGTTAGGCCTGGCTAAGGCGAGTGGGAGAGTACCCTGTTTGCCCAGTGGCAGCTGCTCTTCCAGCCTGGCGCACGGTTAGTGTTGAGCCTTGGGCTACAGTGGGTTTCTCCTCACATCGATTATGGCAGGGTGGCAAGGCACAGCTGCCACACTGGGACTGGCTCTGCGCAGCTCCCGCCGGCACTTGGGCAACAGCGCCGGGTTCCAGGGAAGCAGCACCTCGTGGGGCTGCCCTGACCTGAGCACGTGCTCGGCCTCCCTCTGCCGGAGCTCTGGTGGGCAATCATTGGGCAGGGAGGAGCGCCGCCATGTAGCGGGCAGGGGTGCATGCACCAAGTCTCTGTTTTCCTCCTGGCACCTGGAGCTTTCTCCAGTGCAGGCGGGCTGTGAATCCACGAGAGCTGGGTCAGGTACTTCACTGGTTGCAGGCAGGGTGGGAGCTCTGTCTCCAGCCCCAGGCAAGTTCCTTTCCAGTCCTGCAGGAGACAACAAGCATTCAGTCACGACAGCCACCCCTCACTGCTGGACAACATAGGAACTTGGGGGCACCTGTTATCCAGGGGAGTGAATGGGTCTGTAGTGTGTCTCCCCTGCTGCTTGTGTAAGCCTCACCTACAGCAACAGCCTCTGGCAGGGGATGCTCCCTGCTCACCTTGCTGCTCCAGAAGCAATTTAAGCCAGGGGTGTTCAGTGCCCAGCCTGCAGTCCCGTGTAATCCAGCCTGTTGGGCTCCCCACAGATCTGGAAATTTGAGGCAGGAGAGCGATGGCACTGCTCTTTCACAGCTAAATGTCCAGACCCTTAAGGAACTCCACACCCTGTGCACTGGATCCAGCATCTGATCCCAGTGTACAGGGCTAGGTGGAGGCAGCACCAGGCCCCAGGCCCAAATCCTAATGGGGGGGTGGGGGGGTGTTGATGGGAAAGGGTGCCCCTAGGACTCAACCTTGGTAGAGCAGGGTAGTGCCAGGACCCCGGGGACCAATCCCAGTGCAAAGGGGCCATTGGAGGTGATGCCAGGCCCCAGAGCCTGGCTTGGGGGCTCTGGCACATGGACCACCCCACCCCACAGGGCCGAAAGGTTGAGCATCACTCGTTTAGACTCCTCTGCTCATACAAATGCATGTGAAAGTACTGCTAACCCTGCCAGCGGTAACTGCAGCCTCCCTTACCTCGGGCTTGCCCACCCAGGTGGCTCAGACCACTCAGCCTCTGGTTCAGCTCCTGGTTTGCCCACATGTAACGGTTCAGTTCCTTCTCCAGCATTTGGATCCTTGCCTCATACTGGAGCTTGCTGCTGGCCAGCCCCTCATCCAGGTGCTCTACAAAGAGAAGGTGCAAGGCTGGCCTTGAAAAGGCTGCTGTAATTACCCTGTGAAGGGAGGGGGGGGAAGAGGGTTGGCTCAGGCACGGCTGTCGGGGAGCCTGTGGGCTGCAGGGAGCAGGGGAGGTGGCTGGGACTCACCGCGGCTCTGCTGGAGCAGGAGTTGAATGTTCTGCTCATGCTCCTTCTGCTGCAGAGTAAGCTGGCGATCCATCTCCAGGCGCTGGCGCTCCACCGCCACCTCCAGCCACGACACCAGCTGCTGCTGCTCCTCCAGCTGCATCTCCAGCTCCGAGAAGGCAATATGCTGCCTGTGCTGGTCTTCTCGCAGTGTCACCACCTGCCCAGGGCCCCAGAGCAAGCCACCAGTCAGGCCTTCCTTGGGTTTGGCAACCTCCTTCCCCATGTCCAGCAACTGACCAAGGCCATTTCATGGTGTAGGAAGAACATGAACTTTGAGGGAGCCCTGTCCCTCACAGAGCAGCAGCTGCCTCAGCAGCAAGCAGGGCACTGCATGAACTGCCACTGCAGACAGCTGGGGAGCCAGGCCCTGGTTGAGACCCAGGGACCCATGAGAGGACCCAGCATTTTTGCCCTGCTGAAGGTGTTTGCAAAACTGCTGAGTTTGTAGCATGGAAACTTTACAAGGGGAAGCCAAGCTTCAAGGGGAGGAAGTGGGGAGCTCCCAATGGCAGGCCAGGGGCTGGAGCTGGGGCAGGGCGTGCAGCTGGCTCCCACCTTATCGAAGTACTTGCAGAGCAGCGCCCGCGTCTCGGAGGAGGACAGGTAACTGAGCTTGGCCATGAGATTCATCTCGCACTGGGACAGCAGGCTTGCCGAGGCCCGCAACACCCGCTGCCGGCATGTGATCGACTCATTCTTGTACTCAATGGCCGCATCCAGTGCCTCGATGGCCTCGTCCAGCTGGAACAAGATCCGTTCCTCCTGCCACCCAGGAGCGGAGAGAGGAAGGCAGCTGCTGTCACTGCGGATTAGAGCGGGGTAGCACCCCTCGCCCAGTAGGAGAATCAGGGATGGGGGGCAAACTATACCCAGGTCCCGGCCTTGTGAGGACCCTCCCATCTATTCCGCTCCTGCCCCAAACGTGCACTGCTCTTGTCCCAGCTGCAGTAGCTCCCATCTGTGCCAGACAGGGCCCAGCAGAGTCCATTTCCCTGGGACCACAAGGAGCTAGTGTACAGGGTGGGAAGGGCAGGTGCAGCAGCCCTGGTCAGCCCCTCCCACACAGCAGCAGGGTACCTCCGGGGACAGCAGGGTGCCCTGGCGCAGCTTGTTGTCGATCTCCAGCCTCTGCTTGAGCAGTTGGTCCTTCTCCTGACGTAGGTTGTTGATCTCCTGCCGGATCTGCTGCTGATCGTGGGCACTGCCACGGCGGAGCTGCCCATTCTTCTCCATCAGCTCCTTTTCCAGGTACTCCAGGCGGCTGGACATGCGCACAATGTCATCAGTCAGGGCCTGGGGCAGCAGGAGGAACAGGACCCCCAATAAGCATCTTGTCCTGGGAAAGCCAGGCCTTCCACTGCCCTCCCTCCAGTTCACCTGCCCAAGCCAAAGACAATCCAATCCAAGTCACCATGAAACCCCTGTGAGGGAAGGTGTCCAAGACAGCTCACTGAGGAGGCTGAGGGAGCTCAGGTCAGGGCACCTCCTGTAGCCTGCCAGGCACCTTGCCCTCCAGCCAACTCAAGTTCAGGTGCCAAGGGACAGGACACTGGAGCAACCCACAGCTGCCCACCTGGCTAGAGCGGAGTCTCTTGCTCTCCAGGCCATTCTTCTCCTGCAGCAATGCTTCCTTTTTGGCCACGATGGCTTCCCGTTTCCTCAGCTCATCCTCCAGCTCATCCAAGGCACGACGCTGCTCCAGGACTTTGTCCATCTCCATGTCCAACCACTTCTTCTGTTCTTCAATTTTCTGATGGAAGGGAAGTGAAACACAGGGGAGAGTTACAGACAGCTGCATCAATGACCGGGAACTGGGGTCAGGTCAGGGGACAGAGGCTTCGGCTGATGTGGGCCCTATTATTGGAGATTTGAGTACATCTGCCTAGCAGATGTACCCTCATGGCCCCAGGAGGGAGGCAGGCTGGCAATCTCTACCTTTCAGTAGCAGCCTGGGGCACAGGGAGTCAGACTGAGCAGGGAACAGCATGCTGACCCCTGGAGAAGCAGGTGACTGCTCTGCCCAGTGGCCACCTCTCTCAACCACCTGCCCTAGCTCTGGCAGATGGGGTTTCATTCCCACAACTTCATGCCTCACCCACCAGGAGTCTCATGGGGTTGGGAGGATCCCAGAAAAGGCAGGCTGGGACTATGGGGTATCAGCAGCATGTGGGACTCTCTCCCAAGGCACGGAGAGAGTGCTGGGGCGAAGGCTGAGCTTCTCCTGCCCAGCAGGGAGATTTCAGGACACCTCCTCCCAGCGGGCTCAGGGACTCCATGCCTTTGCTGATGCCATATGGTCAGGTTGGGAGGGTGTGGGGCTCCCAGCCCCTCACCTGCTGCTGCTCCAGGCTGATGACAGAGCCATTGCTGCCACTGCGGCGCTTCCTCTGGAAAGCGGCAATCTCCTCAGTCTTGATACGCAGGATCTTCTGATGCTGCTCGTGCTTCAGCTCCAGCTCCTGTGCAGGGGGGAGGAGGCAGTGGGGTGTTGGAAGAGCATAGGAAGGGGCTGATCCAAAGCCAGGGGCAGAGGAATAGATTTGAACTCCTCGGGACCTCACCCACCAATCAACCTAACTGGCTTCCCCAGGTGCTGCAGTACAGTCTCCCACGGCCTGCTGCTGGCTGGGACACAGAGCCCTTCCCCTCACTCCACAATCCCACCAGAGTTACCGCAGTTCCTGGTTGGCACGTGAGGCTAAGAGCTCCCCATAACACCCAAGCAGCTTCCCCCACCCTCCAGCTGGGCCCAGCAAGCAAGCCTGAGACTCACCTTGACCCGGTGCTGCCGCTTGTGCACCTCAGTCTCCAGGCGCCGTTTCTGGTCTGTCTCTTCCCGCAGCCGCCGTTGGAGCTGCCCCTGCTGCCGCCGCATCAGCTGGATGTTCCTCTCCAGCTCCTGCACCCGCTTCTCATTCTGGGCTGACAGCGACACTAGCCTCTCTGTCACCTGCTGCTTTTCACGCAGGACCTGCCACAGGATGGCTGCACTTAGCCTTGGCGGAGTACCCCCGATCCTGCTCCTTAGAGCCCCCCAGTGTCTGCATTTGTGGAGAGGCAGCCCTCAGCTCTCCTCTGAGCCCAAGGGCCATAGCCCAGGACAGGTAGGCCAAAGCCCCTGGAGGCCAGCACTGAGCAGCCCTGCTCACACTGACCTGTGCCTTGCTCTGTGCGGCTGCCACCCTTGTGCGGTACTCCTGCAGCCGGCGCTTTTCCCCAGCATCCTGCAGCTCCTTGCCCTCCAGCTCCTGCAACTGCTTCTGGCTGTGGCTCAGCTCAGCCCGCACCTGCTCTGCCTCCTGCTCCAGCTCGCTGATTTTCTGGCAATATTGCTTGTTCATGGCCTGGGCATCCTTGCCTGGAATGCAAGTGTGAGCTTCTACCCCTCAGCCCGGTTCCCAGCTCTCCTCCCAAACCAACCAGAGGCTCTAGGCACCTGCCAGACAACCTGGAGTAGGAGTAGTAGCAACATGGCACAGGACCTTTGCCAGTACCACTTGCAGGGGTTACAAGCTGACTCCAATGACAAGGAGCTATTTCGCTTTGATGGGGTTCAGCTGTTCAATAACAGCCACACCACTCAGGGCTGGGAGGGGACTTGCCCTTGCTCTGCCCCACCCACCTCCTACAAGAGTCAGATATGCCCCTAACTTGCCCCTCTCTGGCCTTCCTTCCTAGTCACCCTAGTAGTTGCAGAGGCTGGGGCTGGTTGCTAAGCCCTTCTTCCATTAGACAAGGCATGGGGGGCAGGAACCCACAGGGAGGGAAGGGGAGCCATGGAAGGAAGTGCACTCTAGCTTCACTGGGGAAAGAACTGCAGCTCTTCTTGTGGCTGCAAGCCCCCACCCTGTCCCCACTGCGCACCTGTCTTGATGAGCTCTGTAATCAACTCCTCCTTCATGCGGATGTTTATTGCCAGGTCCCGGATTTTCTGCTGCGCTCGCACCAGTCGCCATTCTGAGTCCTTTGTTGACAGGCCACCCCATGGACCAGATGGCTCCGTCCTCCTGCAGGCCCCTGCCACATAGAGCAAGATGCCCTGAGACCCCACCCAGAAGGTGCCCAATCCCTATGGACACAGGCCAGCCCACCAGCAGAGCTGGCAGAACACAGCCCCTGTTGCCCTCATCTAGGAAGCACACGTGCAGCTCTGGAGGCCTTCAGATCCCAGCATGCAATGCTCTATCTACATGAAAGCAGCCAGGCCACAATCTCTAGTAGTCCTGAGAGCCCCCAGGTGCTGGGCTGCACTGGGCATTCAGGGTGCCCCTGCACTGCCTTCCTTCCCCAGTCAGAGCACTTGGAGATGCTTCTTGCTACTGTCCCCAGCACTGCCTGCCAAGCCCTCAGGGGAACAGTGTCCACTTACCCTTGGGAGGCTCAAGGGGCTTCTCCTGGCCAGGTGGGAGTTTGCCTCTGCTCTGCTCCTCAGTCCCCTTGCTGCAAACCTCCTTTTTGCTCCAGCTGTGGATCCCATTTCTAGAAGAGCAGCAAATGGCTCCATTTAGCTGGGCCCGGGCTTAGCCAGGACCAAAGAAAGGTAGGCCTGCTCCAAACCTGCCATGTAGCACCAGGTGAACAGAGAGGGATGCCAGAATGTCCGCAGCCTATCAGGCAGTGATGCTAAGTGAGAGTGGGGCTCAGGAGATGGCAGGACTGTGGCTGGGGCTACGAGATAAGGGGCGGGCTCACATTCCAGTCAGCACATTTCCCCTTGGGCAGGCACCCACAGTAGATGGCAGCCTCAGCAGATAGGCCAAAGGCTCTACAACCCCAGAGACATAGCTCCCTTCAATTCTCTCCTGATCAGGCTGAGACAGAGCTGGAAAGCAAACCCTGTCACTCTGCTGGGCCCCATCAGGGAAGGCTCAGGCTCTGGGGCCCTCAGGCCAACACCACTGCCCTCCACTAGTAGCAGCCTCTGCAATTATTACGAACAAGACTCTGGACTGCAGTTCAGGCATTACAAAGGCACTGTCACATCCTGATTCTTCCTACTCGGTCTCTGGGTTCTAAAAGCACCTCTCAGGTGCAGGGGATATGCAGCCCTCCCAGCCAAAGCCAGCCCAAATCCTGTAGCTCTGTTAAGCAACAGAGTCATTTCTGGGCAGTGGCCAAATGGGCCCTTGTCCTGGGCAAGATCTGGCAGGGCCTGACAATGGCTTGGCACGAGCAGCTACATCTCACCTGCGCTGGTGCAGAGATGGTTTGGGCTCCCCCTCTTCCTCCTCTCCTGAGGATGACTCTGCTGGCCTCTCCAAATCCTTGCTGAGCGGCTGTATCAGCACCGCATCTTTGGCCTCCAGGCTGCAGACCAAACTCTGAGCACAGTTTCGAGAAGACACCACCAGGTCCTCGCCATCATCGGACAGGCTGCTGCTAAGCTGCCCAGGGCAGAGAGATGGGGGAAAGGGAAGTGTTAGTGCATACAGACAGACACGCACCACCCAGGCACCAGAGTTCTGCAGAAGCACTGAAGTCAGCCTGCTCCCTCTGCTAGATATGAAGGCAACATGGAGCTGAAAGACTTTACAAGCAGAGCTAGTGAGGTCCTGGACCCAGGCAGCTGATCTCAGGTGTGCTGCTGCCTGAGCTCAGATCAAAGCCTGAGTGCTCAGCCTAAAACCTGGTTTTCCCAAATCTCTCATGCCAGAGAAGGCAGCCTTAGAGCCAAGGACTGGTTTCACTGTGGAGCTGCTCCCCCACTCAGGTGCAGCAGGAAGGACTGGGCTACAGCTCCTAACATGGTGGGAACTACGCAGATCCCAAGAGCAGAAGTCTGGTACCTGGGATGCCTGATGCACTTACCTTTCTGCAATAAGCCCTTCCACTCTGGTTGGCAAAGGAGGGCCTGGATGGCACCATACTGAGGCTGTGGTACTGCCCAGCATCCAGTGGGGCTGTGTGGGGTCTCTGCATGATTCCCACCAGGTGACCATCCTGCAGGAGTTCTGGCATGCAGGTGGGTGCCACCATCTCCAGGCGCAGGCGGAGCTCGAAGATCTTGTCCTGCTGCTCCTGCAACTTGTCACTCTGGGAAGTGGTGGAAGAACATCGTTTCCCATGCACGCACCCTCGGCCTGCCACTAGCTCAGGAACCAACAGGCCATTCTCTTTCCCCCACTCCACCCCAGCAGCCAGATGGGGATGGCAGAGGAACAGCGGGAAACTCTGGCTGTGTATCTGGGCACTAAAACAATCACAAAGGAGAAGCATGGGGCAAACAGTGCTTCAGATCAAAAATCTCAAATGGGCTTGGTCTGTGTGCGGAGTAAAGGTGCAATGGTGGCAAAGGGAGCAAGAGACCCTGGGAACCCAGGGAGGGCAAAGAATGGGGCTGGCTGGTGCCAAAAGGCAGTAGGAGGGGAAAGGGATCTTTGCATGGGGGTAGGCCAAGGCTACATACCTGCAGCTTGTACTGCTCCATGGCATCCTCCAGGGCAGCCAGGAAGTCCCGGTTCTCCTCCTCTAGCCTCTCCACTTGCCTCTGCAACCTGACCACATGGTCCTCCTTGCCCAATTCACACCCATTCTCTAGGCTCACCTGGCCCCAGGGAGGGAAGAAAGAAACTGCATCAGGATCCCCAAAGCTGGGGCACTATGTACCCTGCCACACACTCTGACTTCTTTAGCAGGAAAAACTAAAGAAGAAACTGATCCCAAACGCATGGCTTCCCAGCCTGTAAGATAATGATGTTCTGCCCCAGCAGGAGCCAGGACTCCCCAGCCATTCCTGCCCCATCTCTTTCACCATGAATGACATGTGGCCCCAGAGGCTGACGGGGCACAGAGACTACCTGCAGGCGGCGGCAGCGAACTCCCGCAGGCAGCCATGGTAGTGTTGGCAGCAGGGAGCTCCTGCAGGTGGCCACAGGGGTGTCGGCAGCAGGAGGTGGTGGGGGTGGTGAGCACCAACCCATGGTCAACGACCACCTGCAGACACTGCTAGCAGTGTTGGTGGCGACCACTGGCAATTGGCAACTGCCCACAGACATCACTGGTGGTGTCGGTGGCGGAGGGGGAATGTGGCGAGAGACGACCACCCACAGGTGCCACCAGCAATGTCGGCGGCGCTTTTCTTGGGTGGTGCACCGCCAATCTCAGGGGGTGCACATGCACCTCCTATGCATCACCATTGTCTTGCACTGAGGGCCTGTGCAGAAGTTGCTTCCCATCCCATAGACAACTGATTCTCAGCGCTTGGTCATGTGAGCTTCATGTGTCCCCTATTTCTGAAGGACTCAGAGGCTCGAGGATGATGCTTGTGAGGTGCTTTGTGCTCCTTGGCTAAGGGGGCCTCTGCACTGTTAGTACGCAGCCCCCAAGAGCTAGCAGGGTTAGAAAATGGCTGTCAGGCAGCAGCAGGGCCTCAGCCTCCCCACTCCACAATCCATATGGCAGCCAAATTGTACAGGGCACAAGGGGGAGCATGCATCTTCTGACATACCACAACCCCTCCCCAGAGTACCAAAGGGTCCCTCAGGGTTTATCCACACACCCTGGGGGGGACAGCAAAGCCACAGCCCTCATCCTTTTACTAATGCAGAGGTGAGGAGCTCATCTGCCTGGGGATATCACTTGGCAGCAGTTCCTCCATGTTCTCCCTGCGTGCACTCCTTGTGCATGCTAACTGGCTGCCCCTTGACCCTCCAAGCTAAGTGCCCATGGTGGGGGAAGGAGGGAAGCAGCCTGTGTGCCATAGGTTTGCCTCTTCCTCACCATGCACAAGCCCGAAGGGTCTTGTCCAGCACCACAGGAATTTGAGCTTGGATCTTCCAGGGTGGCGCCCACACTGGTGTCCTGTGCCTTTAGAGGCTCCACACACCTCTACATGTGCTGAAACCTGGGACAATCTGCCCTCAGTCTCCATCTCCAGTGCTAACAGTGTTTCCTCTGCTTTTCTAACCAGGTACCTCCAAGGGTTTGGTTCCGACAAACATCACCTCCTGTAGCTGGGTCTACCTGGTAGTTTCCCCAGCACTCCCAGGCAATGAGCAAACCACACCAGAGGCCCACAGTCATACTGCCTCTGTGCTCAAACAAGGCTGACGCTCTGTACCTGGACCTTTGCTGGCTTGGAGCCCTGTGCCTTGGGGCTTCGGTCCTCTGCTGAAGTGCTCTCAATGCCGCTATCCAGGCCAGCTGAGGTCAACTCGCTCCTCTCGCTCTCCACAGCACACAGCCACTCCTTCACCCGTAGGACCTGCTCTACCGTGAGGTTGCCCTCTTCCTGCAGCTCCATCAGGAGCCGGTAGGCAGCATCAGTGCAGGTCCGGTAGTGAGCGCACTCGGCCAGCAGGCGGGCCATGTGGTCCTGGGAGCCCTGCTTGGCCGCATCTGAGCGGTTTATGATGCGGGTCTCAGAGCGGTGCCGCTGTTCTAGCGCCTTCTGCAGGCTCTTGATCTGCAGCTGCAGCTCCTCCACATGCTCAGTCTCCTTGCGGCAGTTCACCACAGCCTTGTTCTGGATGTTCTGGGCACGGCTGGCATAATTCAGTGTATTGAGGGTCTCATCGAAGTCGGAGGAGGAAGGGCTGATGCAGGCAATCATGACAGTGTGGGCATTGCCTCCAAGGGAGTCTTTCAGGATCCTGAGAAGAGTTGAGAAGGAAAAATCAGAGAAAAATGCCACAGCCCACCATCTTGTAGACATGCAGGGGCTGGGGCAGGGTTTTACCAGCACTACCCCTCCTGAAACCCAAGAATTGCAAGGTGCTTCCCTCATATTCTACCTAGACCTGGTAAAAGGGGTCAGGATAGCAGCCCTGAGGGAGGAAACAGCCTGCAACACTGCTGACTTCTCCCTTTATAGTCTCTCAGTACTAACTGGAGATGCCACCAATGGGAGCAAGCAGGAATTCAGATTCTGGAAACACTGGCTGGAGATGACAATAAAGGAGTCACTTCTAGGTCCAAATATGGACACATCTGTGCTGGGAACTAGACTGAGACCACCTTATTTCATACAAGCTCCCATGCAGATGTCTGATGGGAGCATCTTCAGGTCACTGCTAATCAGGAATGGGCAGGAAATTCTTCAGCAGCTCCTAATTCTTTAAGCAAAAGCAGCATGGGTCACCCCCATGTGATGCATTACAATGGAAAAGCTTTGGAACAAGCTGGATTTTCAGTCTTTCCTTGGCTCTGTTTCACGCATGGGAGATGCATGGTCTTTCAAAGAGATGTTCCACTGACGCCTTCAGAACCAAGCGCACAGTCTGAAAGCCTCAGAGAATGACCATTGTGGGCAAGTCCCAGCAAATTCAACTTGTGCAAGCAAAGGGCTTCTGACACCAAACCTGACTGACCAAGCTAGCCCTTTCCTTCAGCATGCTGGGAAGGGATAAGGAGGCCAAAGGGCCCCGCTGCAGGACTGAGCATGCACAGGAGACAAGGCCATATGAGCAGCCCAGGGGCCTTGTGGTACCTGGTGATTTTGGAATCCCGGTAGGGGATGTGGCTACACTTCCGGCGGGGGTCTCCCAAGGCACTGATCACATTCCCCAGGGCCAGCAACCCACTGTTGATCTGGATGCTCTCCTTCAGCCTCTCTCCTGTGTTTCCAGTCTTCACAACCCGCTCTGAACCCGCTAGGTCTACAAAGTGGAATTTGGAGACCAGAACTTGGCCTGAGGCCAGGCCCACGGAGCAGTTATGGAGGGCGAGGCGGCCGGCACCCCGCCGCTGTTCCATGGTCACTGTGAAGATGGTGTGCGAACGGCTTGACTGCATGTTGATGTGGGTGGCTCCCGTGTGCTTGGCCGTGTTCCCCATTTCCAGCAGGCTCAGGACCTCATCCAGCCCCTCCACTTCTGTCTCTTTCACTCCATACAGCACTGCAACAAGACAAGAAGAGTAGCAGAAACAGTCTGCATTGGTGCCAAGGAAATCTGCACAAAGGGACAATCGGGACATCAGCACTGGAAGGGCATCTAGGTCATGCTCAGAGAACACCCTAAGGGAAATCTGTCTCCTGCGTATAGGATTTCCCCTTGGTTATTTGGGTATGTGGTTACTGTTGTGATGCATACACAGCTGTGCTATTGTGAAGGATACACAAGCTCAGTCACAAGTACACAACCAGCATTGGCTCATTGAGGGAAACAAATCCCTCCTTCCTATCAATGTAACAGCATGGATCGCACACAGATAGAAAAGCTAAGCAGAGCTACATCAGAAATGGCCCCAGAACTGAAAAATGGGCCCAGGCCGCACCCAAGCTCTCTAGAAGAGCAAGGCCTCTACAGCATCATTTGGCTGAACTTCCTGGGTCCCAGACATGCTGAAGAAAGAGGAGCCATATGCTTCAAGTGTTGCTGAGAACTGAGGCCAGAGGGTGTCCCTTCTGTCCCTTCCCATGCTGTGCCATGGTATAGAAACACAGAGCTTTCAAAGGGGATAAACCAGGAGTGAGGCAGCAGAAAAATTCTTACCTAAGGCCCATATCTCTTCTGCCCTAGCAATGCCCAATACCCCTTGAAGGGTATGACAAGCCAGAATGAAGATGCAACTCAGAACAACCCCTACCCCTATGGAGGTCACCCCAAGGCTGCTTTGGCTTTATTGACTACACTTACTTTCCTTGTTAAAGTGCCTAATCTCAAGTCTCCCATCAAACTAGAGCAAGAAGGCAGGCCAGTTTGTGTAGCCAACAGCACACAGTGGCATGTGGGTGCAGGGTTAGTGTTAGGAGGTCAGGTCCCTGTGCAGCTTTGGTGGGACTAATGGGGAGCTAAAAAAACCCAAAACCTTGCCTTCAGTGACAAAGCAAAGCCTGTTAACAGCCAAAATCAGTTCCAGAGACAGTCCTTGTTACAGTGTCAGAAGCTAAAGGAGAAGCAGCACCTTGCACTACTTTGCAGGGGTAAGTATCCAGCTCTGCCAGGGAAGGGACTGCAGGAGGAAGTCTTAGAGCAGCTGCACGTACCAATGTTCCCCTTGTCATCCTCGCGAATTTGAATGTCCTTGCTGGCTGTATCCACTTGCAGCAGATCCCGGAACTCCTCTTTATACACCTCCAGGTAGGACACTCTGACCGTGTAGTCAATCAGGTCATTCTCGTCAATGAGTTTGAAGGCCTCAGCCATGGCACGAGGGATGATGCCCTGCTCATCCTCGTTGATGGAAGCTGGCAGGGAGAGACGCATGCAGTAATCAGATGCAAGGGAAGCTTAAAACATCAATTCAAGGGTGGGCCCCAGCCACAAAGCAGGAGCCACTTTGCAGAGCACATTTCACACCGTGACACAGCTCAGTAGGGATTAAAAATCCTTAGGGGTGTCTCCTTATAATAGTTTGCTTGAGGGTACTTGCCAGGAATTCCCTCATCCCACTACTGCTTCCCTGCTACCCTCTACCCCAGAGGTGTTGCATTACAGTCGCACAAACAGGACTGCAAGGGGCTTCAGTTCATCTTATCCAATTCCCTGCATTCACAGGCACCTATTATCCAAAGGGACCTAAAAGTCATCCACTCCACACCCCCGATCCTGCCCCATAACCTCAAATCGCAATATAAAAATCAAACCAGAACCCCTGATCTGTGCTACAGGTAAAAAGCAAGGAAGCAAAGGACACTGCCAGTGCCTTGCCACTGCACAGAGCTTGTCAAGTGCTCCTTGAAGAGGAAAGTACATCTTCACATCAGTGGGTAACAAAGAGTATGGAAAGGCTGCAGCATGCCTTCTTTTGAGCCTAGCAGAGCTCAGAACTGTCTCCAAGCACACACAGCTATTTTGGGGTAAGAACGCCCTGACCTGGCCTCAGCATTCTTGAATATGAATTTTAAATTGCCCCCTTTTTGTTTCTAATAAGCCAGGCCTATCTGAAATTAGCTTCACACTGGGCACAGAGATAGCCCTAAGAGGAGTTGGGGGGAGGAATCAAGATGCATCTAAAATACAAAACTGTTTTTATATTCTCAAAGTTAGTTTTGTTTTGCATGTGCACAGTATATTTTAAGAGGTCTTGAGGGTCAAAAATACCCAACCAGTCCCTCATGGCCAAAGCATTTCTAGGAAGAGGAAAAAGGAAACACTTCTTCTCAAACAATAATATTAACAAACCAAACAAGAAAGAACATCAATGACAAACTGCCTGTGTTAGGGCTGATGGAGAAGTAAAGCAAGTAGGGCTCAGACATACCAAAGAAGGCATCCTTAGAAAACCATCCTGAATGCTGCCACATCAAACACAATCTCCTTGCCTGCCTTTTGCAAGGTAACAGAGAGGTCTGCACAGTTCATACACTGCTCAAGCACAGTGATTTGCCCCAGACAAGCATACCGTCCTGCAAAGTGCGGATCAGGTTCCTTCAGTGGTGTTAGTTCAGCAATGCAGGAAACCCTGTGCATGGGCAGCACCTGATTGTGCTGCAAAACCCTCTGCGGGGCACCAGAAACAGATGTTTGTCTGGGACAGCTCAGACAGAGAAGCTGCAGTTCTGAGAAGGGAGTCGGACTTGACTTCTCACGGTCCCTTCCAGCCCTGCTTTCCCATGCACCGTGCGCAAAACGGCCACAACACAGAGGTTGAGTCCCCACAGGTTCCCCCACCACCCCGCTATGTTTCTCAGCACTGCTGGTACACCATCCCCGACTCCTGACACTCCCATTCACCCAGCAAGACTGTGGGTTTCAGATGCCCTCAGCCGCACGCTCTCTTCCCTGCAAAGCCCCACTGCTCCCGTCCCCGACACGTCCCCTTCACCAGTGTCACTGCGTGGCGACACCTTCGCTCACCACGCTCTGCCACCAGTAGGGACATGCGGGCTGGTCCCCCGGGCAAAGCATCACCGATGCCAGCTTGGAAACCCCCGTGCTCCATTGGGGAGTCTGAACCGTTTGTCCCAAGGGGGGTGGGAGCGCTCGGCACCGGCTGCTGGCAGGGGAAGAGGAGCTTGGGCACACAAGTGCCTGGGGAGGGGAGGGGAGGGGAGGGAGGGGGACGGCAGGGCCCCGGGGGGCAGGCAGGGCACACAAGTGCCTGGGGAGGGGGGGCAGGGCCCCGGGAACACCCCCCACTTCAGAAAGGACATGGACAAACTGGAGCGAGTCCAGAGACCCGGTTCAGGGGCTGGGGACAGGACTGAGAAGAGGAGACGGGGGGGCTGCCTAGCAGG